CAATATTACCAAGCCGTTTTGTTGTAGAATGGCAATAGAATAATAATAACTACAAAGGGACCGTTTTCAGCGGATTTTCTTTTCCATGCGTGCTTTTTCGTGCATTTTTATGTGTACAGCCTTAGCAGTCAACAGTAAATGTTTTAAAGTGTTGTTTGAACTGTCTCTTTATTGTTTACAGATGCTTTTTTGCCCGAACGTTCTATTGTGGTTTTGTGCAACTCCTTGCGATCCATATATGAACCACTATCGTAGTTCATGATAACTGTTTATGTCTTCACAAGTCTTAATAAGCACCTAGAATTAATCTCTGAAACTTTACAGATATTTTTTGTTTACCAAAAATAAAGATAAATTCATAATAGCATCTATAATCTAGTTTACAAGTAACATGAGTTGCTTTGAATATTGTTATGGTGACTTTTGAATTACATGAAAAATAATGCTACAGTTTTCCAAATTCTACAACCATTTTTATTTTATTTTCTATCTTTTTTTTTAGGACTTACCGATAAACTTAGGTCTATCCATACCTTGATATCTGCAAGCGATTTGTTGTTCTGAATTTATGATCAGTGGTCGAATTCACACAGTCAGGAACGGAAACAAATGTGAAGTATCACTGATTGTATCAGTTCTGGTCACGTGGGAGGTATGTCACACACAAAAAAAACAGACATGGTCAACAGCTTAACAATAAAGAAGCTTGAATTTCACAAAATCTGCCCAGGATTAATGTCTGCTGACACAAGGTTTAATTCCTGGCGAACAAACATTACAATGGCCTTCTTTATGTTTGCTTCAAAAATCGGCAGGACACCAATCTCATAGATAGCATTCGCAGAGAAACTTCTAGAAACAAATTCAGTCCACTTTAAAGTCCATAGCAAAACAATAAGTCTCCTCTTCAACTTGGGTCCTAAAATGTTATGTTTTGGTAAACTTGTATCAATTTCAGTAATAAGAATATGCTTTTGTTATTCACTCTTTCAAAAATTTATATACTTTGGGTTTTACACAAAATTTTAACGATTTTAATCCTACATTTTATAAACTTCATTTTACAGTCAATACAGAATACTGGCTCATGATATAATGATTTACAACTTGTGAATTTTGCTGTACCAAGACCTTTATCATGTGCTTTTTAATTCATAAGTAGTGCAGGAGTAACTGGTTTTTAATACGAATTCCCAACATTGGAATTTTCATCTGAAATACACATGCGTTTAGTTTTAATCTTAGTGTTCACTAGAAATTGTTTAATCATATTAATTGACCCTGAATGCTTGTGAGGTTATAAAAGGGGTTTCAATGCCCTTTGTGAGAACAGCACTGTATTGATTTGTGCTCAACAGCAAACAAAGAAACAATAACTAATGCACCAAAATATACACCTGGAAAAAAGTTAAGCACCCCCAAATA